ATATATACCTTATTAGAGGATATGGTTATCATCAGGTGGAGTATAAGATCGTTTTTCTTACGAATCTTTATATATATATATCGGAAATGACAACAGGAGATCCCACTTCTGATGTCAGAGAATTATTCAACAGAGTATTCCACTTGTGATCTTGGAAATACACCAGGATAGCGTTAATTGTTAAAAATAATAAAAGTGTGAGAGCGGATGTTCAACTTGCTCTCTTGCTTACGCAGTTTAATCATTATCAGTAATAAGACAACGTAACGCACTATACATCCAGTATAGTGAAATTACAGTTCGACCACACCGTAACACGTCTCTGCCACAATCACACACCAGTGTAACGTGAGGTACGTAATTACATGATAACACCAAAATATGTGAACCAACAGCAACACTACTTATCTCAATGTAACACTGGGCAGCCTCTCAGCAACACCAATTCTCCTTGCCTGCACTAGAAGAATTACAACAACGAACAGAACCACGACACTATCTTAGCACTAGTCGAATAACCACACTCGTTGAATGACTTAAGCGGAATCTCTCGCGCACGGCACCTACAGTGAACTTTATACTGCACAAACAAGCGGGAGTTTCTCGATATACCCTCCATCGCACCTCGACCCAACCGGAGACGCTCCGACACGGCCATCCTGACGTACGACCGTCCTCGGGCGTGTATTTTCATGCATTCCTGTAACCAACACTATTAGTCCACCAATTCATCCGCTCGTCCGTCCTGACATGAGCAGGTACATATTATTAGTTCGCAAAATTAATTGTTAGATGGCGCTGCTTGTTGCACTATGGCGCCGTCAATCCACAACACGGCCACTCCTGACTAGCATCCGTCCTCGGTAGTGCCTGTGGACAGAAATATGCTCAGAGATTAATCTAGCTCGGCTATCCTGCCAATCGAAACAAGATCGATTCCAAATGGTACTTTACTTCTCCTAAGTCTAAGTACAATAGCTAACTGTCATAATTGACAATGCCTTGTTATTAAGGCTTCTTACACAGTGCTTCCTGCACAACATGATTTGTCGTGGAAGGTCCGATCAACAAGTTCCAACACAGTAATTTTAACACTTTTTTACTCTTTACAATTCATAAGCAATGCATATTCAACTCGTGAAACTTTCATTGAAATCTGTGCACCAACACAGACCAGAATCGCACCAACGATTCTTTACATATCCGCCGTCACATATGCCAGAATCGCACCAACGATTCCCCACATATCTGCCGTCACATATGCTACATTACACAAGAGGCTCTGTGCACCAACACAGGCCAGAATCGCACCAACGATTCTTTACATATCTGCCGTTACATATGCCAGAATCGCACCAACGATTCTCCACATATCCACTGCCAAATATGCTACAACACATCTGCTGCCACATATGCCAGAATCGCACCAACGATTCCCTACATATCTGCCGCCAAATATGCACCAACACAGACAGAAATCGCACCAACGATTTCCTACAGACCCATCGCCACATGTTACTCATGAGGTGCGGTCTAAAGTTTAGAGTATGAGTATACAAGCATTCTTAATCAAATTTGGTCTCACTACCACTGTCATCAACTATGACATCTAACTCTCGAGGAACTTGGTGATCGGGGATCTTCCTCACATGATCATGGGGGTATTTGTGACTTTGCACACTAAACTTTGACAGATTCCGGTTAAATTTACAAAATTACTTACACTTTTGCCACAACACAATCTTTGATGATAGGGCATTCGGCCCAGAATCATAATAAATGGGTACGACTACCAGTATTCATCAGCACACTGCTGGGATTACTCACATAGTAAACATCAACACGTCGCTCACTGCTCGCCTCTGCGGCAGGCGTAAGGCAAGCGCACGTGGCTATTAAAACAAACCAGCACACGCCATAGTTAGCTGCCATGAAGCAAGCTCACATGGTCAAAACAACAGCACAGGGCGTGCCGCACTCGCACAGCGAGCCGTCGCATCTCACCAGCGCCAGCGAGACGCTGCACCGTACCACGCACTCCAAGCGTCAACGGGAGCAGCAGGAGCACCTGAGGGTTCACAGGCATCGTCGAGGTTGAAGTCATCGTGATCTCAAACTCGCGCACATGTAGTCACATGACACGTGCTACTGTAACACAAAAGAAAACATTAAAAAGATTCAGTAGGAACTTTTTTAAAAAAATGCAGCAGTACTCTCAAGACACTAATCTTTCCAGGGCACCATATACTGAGCTGCAGCTACACGACAACCTCTGGTATGGTCCGATCCTCATGTAAACTTAAATACTCTCTTCAATGTCAGAACTAATTTGCTGTTCTTAGCTTTCATCAGTTATACTTTGGTTTTCCGGCATTTTTCGCAACCGATTAAAAATGTAAACACTTATTCTTACAAAATATTTTTTAAGACAATGTTAGGAATAGATTTGCTTTCCTCATGTATCAAATGGTGATCGGTAGCAGCGGCAAATAACGTGGTCGCGGCGTCATAAGCCGACAGCATATTTCCACTCAAGAGCGAGCGCCACAGCACCACGCCTTCCACTAAATCCTCAACATCAAATCCCAATTTTATCGACTACGTAATACTCGCAGTAAACTGTAACACTTATCAACACATTAGAACAGAAAAATACTACTTGATGTTTTTAATTCATAGCACGTTAAAGTAAACATGTTCCTTTTTTCGGTACATCGTTTAAACATTTTGAATTTTAAAACTAGCCCATGTAAATCACACCTCGTGTATCAAATTATAACATAACTTGAGCAAGTTAAACTTCCACTGAATGCGAACTATAACTCATTTAGAATACCTCCAACATTTCTTTCGACATTTGTTATCACGTTTGGGTACGTTTTGAAATAATGAAAGTACTTGCGGGTACTTTTTGTCATTAATCGAACAAAAAGATTTAACTTTTGGCTTAAAACATTTCACTTTAAACTTTTACTCTACACTTTAATGATTCGTCAGTGTCGTAAATACGACAACAAACTTGATTTAAGAAATTAAACACAAAAACAAAACGCGAGGCGTATCATAGTATTTCACCAACGTAATAACCCTCACACTATTCAAAGTTTATAGCAGGTGGGCAGTAACAGGGACTTTATCCCACTTCTGATATCGGAAATGACAACAGGAGATCCCACTTCTGATGTCAGAGAATTATTCAACAGAGTATTCCACTTGTGATCTTGGAAATACATCAGGATAGCGTTAATTGTTAAAAATAATAAAAGTGTGAGAGCGGATGTTCAACTTGCTCTCTTGCTTACGCAGTTTAATCATTATCAGTAATAAGACAACGTAACGCACTATACATCCAGTATAGTGAAATTACAGTTCGACCACACCGTAACACGTCTCTGCCACAATCACACACCAGTGTAACGTGAGGTACGTAATTACATGATAACACCAAAATATGTGAACCAACAGCAACACTACTTATCTCAATGTAACACTGGGCAGCCTCTCAGCAACACCAATTCTCCTTGCCTGCACTAGAAGAATTACAACAACGAACAGAACCACGACACTATCTTAGCACTAGTCGAATAACCACACTCGTTGAATGACTTAAGCGGAATCTCTCGCGCACGGCACCTACAGTGAACTTTATACTGCACAAACAAGCGGGAGTTTCTCGATATACCCTCCATCGCACCTCGACCCAACCGGAGACGCTCCGACATATATATAATTTTTCTGCTAGGATGTATGTGACTGAACTTCACCTAAACTGCCGGACCGATTTTGAAGGGTTCCGTACCATTATAAAACACGTCTCTAGTAGGGGAGTCTGCTTTAAATTTTTGTTTTGTTTTTATGTTTATTATTTGTTGGCAATAGAAATACATACATCTACTATCTACCTATTAGGGATTAGAGATACAGCCAGCTGACAGACAGAAGGACGGATTGCGGAGTAATAGGGTCCCGTTGGTTACACTTGGGGTACGGAACCCTAAAAAGATGTTTGTTTAACATTTTGGTCAAGGCCTTGGAACAAATATTTGATTTTTATACAAATTCTGCTTTGTTTTAAAACAAACAAAACTTAACGGCTTGGACACACACAATCTTTAAATAATAAAATTAAAGGCTAGGCGTGACGGTGTTTCGTATCGCCGTTAGTGCGGGAACTTGGTGTTAAGCAATAAGATTACTTTTAAGAAGTAATGGAACTGTATTTATTATGTAGTGTTTTGATTTTTTATATTTTTAAAGTTAATAACAGATGATAATCGTTCCTTTTAATAAAAATGAAATATGTGAACAACCAAAATACAACAATAATTATTATATTTTATTGCTTAAAATAATTTAGTTATTGCTTTAAACTACGAAGACCTTTTATCCTAGTTTGTTGATCTAAATAGTGATATAGAATTTATTTAACTTTTTGAAATTTTATATTATACCTAAAATTTAAAGTTTACAGTTTTTTATGACTATGATCCTAACGAATTTCTTACAGTTTACGCCAAGACTCTACCTTATAGAGCAATATCCTTAAAATTATGTTATCACAGCCTTAAACTTCACATTAAAAGATATTAGTGTCAGAATTTCTCCTGGTGGATTTTAGAATATTATTGACAAAATACAATATATTTCTATTTATTGATATATAATTTTTAATCTGTATTAATTTGTAACATACTTAACAAGAATTCCTTTGATTTATGCCCATTTTAAATTAAATGTATTTTATATATTTTTCAATAGAAATCACGTGTAATTTTACCATTTTTCATAGAATATATATATATATATATATTAAATAATAATTAAAATAATCTTTTCACTTAGCTTTGCCTTGAAAAAATCGCTGTCTAGCAATTAGGCCACCTATTATATTAAGTGTGTAGTTTATTTATCGGTGTCTGTATGTAAATAAAATAATAAATAATTTACCTACGTTACATTTAAATATTTAATAGTTTTTCTTAACAAACTTATTGACTTACTATTCTCGGGCCGGTGGTGTCGTACAGTCGATCATACAAATATTCCCTGGACTCGTGGTTTTTCAGGACTTTTGGGCGTGTCACTTGATGAAGCATCTTTTTATCCAGCTTCGTTTTTTCAATTTTAAAGTCTCCCGCACCGAGCTCTACATATTTTTCTTTTCTACCATCCAGATTAATATCAGAAATTGTTCTATTTACAACAAGCTCTGTACTACCAACGCTATAGCGATTACTTGCAACAAGTTGATTTAAAAAACTACCACCATCAACAGAAATTGGTTTCTGCGAACTGTTTAGAATATTGTCCGTGTTTTGAATTACACCGGGGCCCATATTAAATTTAATGAAATTTTAATTAAGGTGTTTTAATAAGAAAAGAGGCGCAACCACAATCACAGGCGCACTATTCGCAAGAATGAACTGCCGGTGTATTTATAACAGTTTTATCATGTGTGTAGAACCAGCAACATTTTAAGTATTAGTAAATATATAAATTTACGTGAGTAACTTTGCGTATACGTTTGAAAAAGTAGAACTTGATGAAGTCACAAATAATGACAAATATAAAACAAATATAAAATTGGCCACTACGTAAGAAGGTGGAGACATGACAGTTATTATGTAGAATCATACGTTCAGAAAACATTTTGTTAATAATTTGAAAACAATTTCTTAATTTTTTTTAATAATAAAGGACAAAAAGCAAAGAAAGGCGAAGTTTAATTTTAATGTCGTTGGTAATAATTATTGTTCAGTTTCAGTTCAAAATCAAAACTTTATTTAAAAAAAATCTTTACTTAAGAACTAGGAGAGACGTACTGCCACGTCTTCCTAAAATCAATTTTACCGATTTGCCCGCCAAGCGTGGTAGCTATGTCAATTATCTCAATTATTTGAGATAATTGACATAGCTACCACGCTACGACTGCAAAAGGGAGGAATACGGTCAGTAATGGACTGTAACTTGATGGAGATTTGAAAAAAAAAATCTCATCGCCTCTACTTATTATAGAGAAAGTACATGAAAAATATAATTCTATTCTTTATATTTAAACGAGTAGAATAGGTGTAAGAATATCTACTACCCCATATCATCCCGTGGATGTGGATGTCGTGAGAGGCGACAAAGGGAAACAAACCAGGAGATTGGTAGCAGCGTCTTATAACGACTAAAAATGAAAAACTGTGTTTGAAAACCGTTTGCCAAGCGTGGCAACTATGGCAAATATGAGGCAATCTATGGGGGAAGCCTATGTTCAGCAGTGGTAAAGACCACTCCACAAGTCGGCTTTAACGACTTGAAAGACTATTTTTATCTTACTCAGTTAAAACTTCCGAAGAATTTTTTGTGACATTATGACAGATATAACAAAATTATAAGGCTTCTTTGTATGATAGCGCAATCTCAAAAATCTTTAGGTAATATTGATGTGCCTCCACCACATACATATCACGATAGTCGCGGTTAGTTTACCACATGTCATTGTTGACATATTTGTATAACATGATGTGATTTTTTGACTATTATTTTATATATTCTTTTATAAATAGGGTGACAAACGAGCACACAGTCCACCTGATGGTAAGTGGTTGCTGTGGCCCACAGACATCTATATCTATCCTCGTTTGCAAATCAAAATGCAGATACGTTGTCACCCGTGAGGACTAAGATGAAACGCCTCTTTACCAGTAAAAAGGGTCTCCGGTTCTCTACACTCGCCATACGAAACTCAGTAGTGTTAAGCTGCTGTTTTACGCTGGTATTCTGTGAGAGCGTGGCCCTACCCCGGTCGAACCGACAGCCGACCCATTCGTGCTACAACTATACTACTAATATAGCTGCAGCATGGCTCTACGAGTACCACGTATATAACGTTTATTTACTTCGTTAAGATATTATGAAATGCCTCTTATCTTATTCATGAATTTGGTGTGTAAAAATAAAAAAAAAACAACTAGATTGCCGCGTGGTAGTGACGTTACCGTATTTATCACCACATATTGTCTCTTGGATATTTTACTGTCGTAAGAGGTGATTATGGGAATTGCTATGTAGAGTCCGGTTTACATCAAAAAATATCCAGACCAGCGTCAGGGTTCTACCAAGCATGAGGATTAAAGCAAATAATCTTACAATGAGAGGACCCGTGCCTAGCACTGAATTTTCACGTATTGATGATGATGACGAAGAATGCGTGATGGTCAGAGTAATCGATCACGGTTCGCATGTCTAATTCGCCAAATAAATAGGCCTATATATATAACTCGCTTTGAAATTTGTTGCATATAATTTGAGTCTTATGACAAATTAATATATCTGAAATTGCATTTATCGACGTTCAACCACACACGCCACGCGCCCGCCACGCGCACGACACGCGCCCGCCTCGCTCACCCCACTCACGCGCTTTTTATGCAATTTCAGATTTATTGATTTGTCATAAGACTCAAATTATATGCAACAAATTTCGAAACGAGTTAGACGCGGGTGCTGATGCGCGTGGCGTGCGCGTAGCGGATGCGTGTCGTGGGAACGCGCCCTAATTCGATTCTCAGTCGAAGTGACAGGCAGCGTGAGGACACCTGCATAAAGTATTTCGTAACTAATGGGTAATTCCTTCATAAAACTCTAAAATAGAGAGGTTTGTGTAATTTTTTTTTTTTTACTTTGAGTAAAATTTATTCTGGTGATAATGTGATCACCTATTACAATAATTAAGATGTGTGACTAATTTCTAGTCATTTTTATAAATACAAAATGTTAAGTAAAGTAAAATTACAGCCTATATCCGTCCCACTCCTGCACAAAGGCCTCCTCTTATTTCTTTAGGGTTCACTTATCTGGCGGACATTACATGCCCTCGAATTAATTAATTAATTAATTAGTCACTAACTTTATGCTAAACTTAACTTTTATTTATGTTACAAAAATTATTATCTATCTTTTGTTCGTTAAACTTATTTTTGTTATTTTTGTTACAACTACCATTAAAAAAGGGAAAATTATAAACACTGTTTTAGAAAGATGTGTTCTCCTATAATTGGTAGTACATAGTAATTTGTAGATGTAAGGCATGTATTAGAAGTAATTTAATATGTACAACTGTTGGAGATCCATACAAATAAATAAATAAATTTATGCAGGACTTCTCACGATGTTTAATTTCACCACCGAGTACGTGGTGAATTAGTAAGGTACGTTGGGGTAATACCGGACGGATTTTCGAATAGTTGGAAGACTCTGCCAAAAACTTTAATTTCTCGACATTCGTATAAGTCAGATTTATGGAACATGGAGCAAACCGTTAATCGTTAAACGTTGTTTAGCTCTGAGAATCTTTTGCTTGTGTAAACTCAACGGTTTCTGCTTTAAAGGTGTGCGAAAACTAGACATACTTTTTAATATGCATAATGAAAAATTGGCCATTAAGGGGTAAGACCGGACTTAAATTTAAATCCACTTCTACTGCTTAGAGAAAAAAGTTCATAAAAGAGATTTGTCCTATCTTTAACGCTCAAAAACATATTTCAATATGATCTATAAATTACTAGAAACATAAATGTTCCAAACGATTTTGTCTTTTTTTGTTTCTTGCCATCCGATCTTATCCCTGATATAAAGAAATTGTAATTTTATGTTTCTCAAACTTTGTTATGACATAAGATGGAATTACTCAATATAAGAGAAAGATCGGATGCATTTGATTTTATATGGGAAAAAAAAATAACAGTAAGGACTAGCGAAATGCCCTGGGATAATGCAGGAGTTAAGGAAGATATAAATATAAAAAAAAGCAACATTTATTATTATAAATTATTTTTTAAATAATTATTATAAATTACATTTTGATTTGTAATAGAGGATAGATATAGATGTCTATGGGCCGCAGCAATCACTTAACATCAGGTGGACTGTGTGCTCCTTTGTCACCCTTATCCTATAAAAAAATGTATTTTAATGTGTACTTAAAAGTAATAAAACCATCGTATTGTTTTATTACTTTTAAATATACAGACTTGCTAACGAGACTGAGTCCCATACTCACTTGAGTAATCAACGAAAAAATATACACGACCAATGAAAGTTTAACAACCACTGCCATATTTGTAACAGGCAAAGATCGGATAATATTCATTCGATCTTCACTCACGAGGGGAAACATCGGATCTCGGCCTACAGCGATCTTACCCCGGCATGAACCTGCTTTATTTAGCTATAACTTCATAAAAATTAGTATCCACACAAAGTAATAACAAAAGAAGCCATGTTCTCGCTAAAAATCGTAAATAAAAGTGATAGGGAAAGATCGGATGGACAAAAATAATACAAAAATTACATTGTTTTATAAAATGCCACGCAGCACAGGTCCCACTTGCCGGAGTGACTGGGGCGAACTGAGGGTCGGGGCAGGATGCAATGGCGTCGTGTAGCATATTGTTAGCTTTTCAAAATATAGCATAATTCGCCGGGAATTTGAATCCTACGGTCTTGCCCCATCACCGATCTTACCCCAACGTACCTTACCTACTTTAAATTAGCAATTTTATGTAATATATTTTTATGTACTAGTATTTGTAAGGACAAACATACACATACGAATATATTCATCGATTCGGTGTATAGTATTTGATCAATAGTGGTATTATCTGGTAAATTAAAAGTTTATAATAAGGTGTGCGAGAGATAGTCTGGGGTTTCAGTTCTAATTTCAGAACCGAAAGCAATTTTTTCACCGTAGTTTATGTAATAATTACTTAAATTAATTAAATAAAAAGCTACGTAATTCTTATTTGGGCGGCATATAAATTTTTATGTAGCTCGGTTAGTCTTAATTAAAATCGAAGGGCGCCATAAAATTCAAGCGCCTCATTTATCTTTGAACCACCTTGAAAGGAACCGTCATAATTGGTAACTACGAGTATGCATCATTAAAATCTCATACCCTAAACCGGGCTACCTTTATGTTAAATTTGTTTTTTTTTGCGCCTAGAAGTAATGAAAAGGGCTACCCTCCGCGAAGCGGGGAAGGAAGGTGGTGAATGCTCTAAGCATACAACGACAGCCGGCTACGTGGTTATGTGGGACTCACTACGAAACCTAAGTGCCTACCCACTAAATACTACCTGTGAAACTGCCCTCTTTAGGAAAAAGGGGGCGCAGCCTCTTAAATACTTCGGTGTGTAGTGGCCGCGTTCAATAATCCATCATCAGGGTGTCATTTTATATCAGAGGTAAATATTATGGTTTGGGAATTGCTGAAAATTTCAAAGTCTCGGTACAAAAGTCTCTCTCGCTTTTTTTTTTAAGTTCTGGTGAAACGTATTAAAAAGAGGCATTTTTTTGTAAAAATCAACATTTATGAAACAATTAAACAGAAAATTTAATAACTTTAACGTTAATTTCA